CCCACCTCTTAATACTATCACATTCACCATCAAGTAATGAACACATTCAAACCATAGCTTATGGACTCATGGATTTCTTTTTTAATTCAATGTCTTATAATCCATTGCTGTTTTTCTTAATGCTCAAATTGTCCCAGTGTGGCCAGTGGATTACCTTTTAAGCCAGTTCATGTGTCTCCATCATTCTTTGAGCATTTCCTTGCTTTCTATAGCAACACCTGCAGCCTCAGACCTGGATCCCACCATGTATCCAAGAAGCCCTTGTTCCTTTTTGTGGGTAGTGGTATTTAGAAACCAAGATCTGGGTGCTGTGTTCATTGTTACTGTGGTGTTCCTAAGTTCTACACCCTTTCAGAAAACAGAGCCAGAAAATTAGGAAATTGTGTGTGTGTGTGTGTGTGTGTGTGTGATAAGTGCATATTGGTACCTCTAATTCAAATACAACATCACATGGTCCTTTCTGTCTTTTCCCCTACTCTATACTTGTATCACTTATCTCCCACAGTGAGAATGCTGGTTCTCCACATCAGCATAATTATTTATTCTATCCTATAATACACCTCAAATCGTTTCAGATTATAATACCAGTTCTAGTATTGAATTGCTATTAATACTATTTCAGTTAGTTTTCTATGCCCTACATGATGATGATGTGTCAGCCATTCATTTCCTTAAGTAATTATTGAATTCAGAATAGCAAATGCCTTCCTTCTTTGGTCCATAATTAAGAGTAATTCAGATGTCATACAGCCTTGCCCTTAGAGATCTAGATCTAATTCCCTGGCCTACATGGAAGGCCAAAGATTTCTCCCTTTTGCTTCTGCAAGATCCTGGTGATTTCATTGGAAATAATTCTGCACACAGTGTACCCTGGCAAGGAGACTCACACCCTTTCAAGATTCCCCCAAATGGCCAGGCACGGTGGCTCATGCCTGTAATCCCAGCACTCTGGGAGGCCAAGGCAGGCCAATAACTTTCGCCAGCCTGAACAACATAGCGAAACCCTGTCTCTACAAAAATAGAAAAATTATCTGAGCATGGTAGCATGCACTTGTAGTCCCAGCTAAACAGGAGGCTGAAGCATGAGAATCGCTTGAGCCCAGGAGGCAGAGGCTGCAGTGAGCTATCATGCCACTGTACTCCAAACTGGGCAACAAAGTGAGACTGCCTCAACAACAACAACAAAAAAATCCCCCTAAATAATCTCTTGTAGAGATTTCACAAACCAGGCATATTTTCTGACAACTTCCCAGGAATTATGGTAGTGGGAATAACGGTGCAAATTCACAGTTCTCACAAACACAGTAAGCATCACTAACTTAAAAGAGCCCCAGCCACACCTCATTGTGGCATTTCTTTATTGGTCTTTCAGCCCAACCCAGTTATCATGCTCTCCTTCCCACTGTTTTTTTCTCCTCTTCCTTCCCTCTCCTTTCTCCATTTAGGATCAAAATGCACCATTCTCTCTGTCAAGCAGAGCAAGCTTCTCCTCTAAAGCTTTGTTCAAGGCATTCTTAGAACAAAGACAGCCTTCTTCCTAAGAGAAATTACAGTGAATAAAATTTCCCCTGCCTTATTACACATACAAGCGTTGGGATCTTTTTAAAGCTTGGTCAGTTGGAAGAAGCTACAAAGAAGTAGCTGCAAAATTCCCTGAAGAGGAGTTTCTCCCTTGGTTCAGCTAATGTCCCTCAGAACCAGGTCACCAGATGGCTCAAGCTGCCTAAGCTCTTTCTACTTCTGGACTCTCCAGCTTCCAGAGCCACCTCCTCAAGTCCTCATGACCTCTACTGTTCGCCCATCATCACAGACAAAGGGGCTCATCCAAATTTCCTCCAGCTAAGCAGCAACCATCCCGCGCTCCCTCCCAGGAAATTAGGTGGGCCAGATAAGTAGTTTCTCTAGTTCTGTGCTCTTCCAACTTATGTAATTGCATTGATTATTCCTTGATTACTTCTTAGGAGAATCCAGACAGAGGCCAGGTCAGCTACTAAAATACCTATGCCATTTGTCCTTCTGAGATGCAGTAGGAAACCACATGCCAGTGTAATTCCCACATTTCATGTTATTGAGCTGCTCCCCTAAACATGATGGGGCCTGGTTCTAGGCCGATGTGCCCAGCAAGCCTTGTACTCCCTTCTATCATGGCTTTTCTCTCCCAGAGCTGGTCAACTCCAGGGCTTAAAGCAAGTAAGCCAATGTCAGTACAGAGAAGATGTGCAGTGAAGTGCTGCCCATGTAGGGGCCAGGACCAACGCTCAGGCCTCTGCCGTGTCGTCTTGGTCAAGTTCCCTAAACTCAAGTTATTTGAACAGGAATGCAAATGGGGTGAGAATAAGGCTCTGGAGACCAGTGTACCTGGGTTCATACCCTGGCTCCATCACTTGCTAACACAATATGCATGAGGCTTAACTTCTAGTCTGTCTGTTTCTTCCTGTGTAAAATGGAACTTATAATAGCATCGACATCTTAGGGCTGCTTTGAGTTAATCTGATAAGCTAATGCATGTAAAATGCTTACAAATTGCCTTGTTTATAGTACTTAATAAATATTTGACATTTTAGGCTGGGCACGGTGGCTCACACCTTTTTTTCCCAGTAATTTGAGAGGCTGAGGTGGATTTCTTGAGACAAGGAGTTTGAAACAAGCCTGGCCAACATGGCGAAACCCAGTCTCTAGTGAAAATACAAAAAATTAGCGAGGCACGGTGATGCATGCCTATAATCCCAGCTACTCAGAAGGCTGAAACACAAGAATTGCTTGAATCTGGGAGGTAGAGGTTGCAGTGAGCCGAGATTGTGCCACTGCACTCCAGCCTGAGTGACAAGACAAGACCCTGTCTGAAAAAAAAAAACCCAATATTTTGTATGTACATGTATTCCTACACACATTTGTAAATACATATAAAAAGTCTGTCAAGACATACTTCTTAGAATGGCTAAATAAAAAAAGATTTTTTAATTTGACAATATCAAGTGTTGGTGAGGAAGTGGAACAACTGAAACTCCCATATATTGCTCATGGAAATGTAAAATGGACAGCCCTTTGAACAATAGTTTGGCAGTTTCTGAAAAAGTTAAACATATATTTACCATACTTATCATAGGATCCAGCAATCCCATTCTTATTCCTTCAAGAGAAATGAAAGTATACATCCACACAAAGAATGTTCATAGTAGTTTTATTCATAATAGCCAAAAAACTGGAAAGAACCCAGGTGTTTATCAATAAGCAAATGGATAAACAAATTCTGGAATATCCTTTCAATGGGACACTTTACTCAGCAGAAGAAGGGATTAATTACTAATACATGCAATGACACAAATTAATCCCAAAAGCATTTTTTTTTTTAAAGATACGGTCTCACTCTGTTACTCAGGCTGGAGTGCAGTGCCACAATCATGGTTTGCTGCAGCCTCAATCTCTCAAGCTCAAGGAATCATCCCACCTGAGCCTCCCAAGTAGCTGGGACTACAAGCATGCATCACCACACTGGGCTAATTTTTTAAATTTTTGTAGAGACAGATCTCACTATGTTGCCCAGGCTGGTCTTGAACTACTGAGCTCCAGCAATCCTCCATTACAGGTGTGAGCCATTGCACCCAGCCTCAAAAGCATTATGTTAAGGGAAAGAAGCCAGACACAAAAGGCTGCATACTGTAGGATTCCATTCTGGAAACAGCAAAACAATAGAAACAGAAAGCAGATGATTGGTTGACAAGGGGTAGAGACAGGGAGGAATTGATTATAAACCGGTAGAGGGAACACATCAGAGTGATGAAAATGCTTCACATCTTGATTGTCCATATGGTTTGGTTCTGTGTCCCCACCCAAATCTCCTCTCAAACTGTAAACCCCATAATCCCCACATGTTGAGGGAGGGATGTGGTGGGAGGCGACCAAATCATGGAGTGGTTTCCCCATGCTGTTCTCGTGATAGTGAGTTCTCATGAGATCTGATGGTTCTATAAGTGCTCGGAAGTTCCTCCTCCATTCTTCTCTCTCCTGCCACCTTGTGAAGAAGGTGCCTACTTCCTCTTCCACCATGATCATTTCCTGAGGCCTCCCCAGCCATGAGGAACTGTGAGACAATTAAACCACTTTCCTTTATTAATTACCCAGTCTCAGGTATTTCTTTATAGCAGTTTGAGACCAGACTAATTCAACTGTGATGGTGGATACATGACTGAATATGATTGTCAAAACTCAAAGAACTGCACATCTAAGAAAGGTAAATTAGGGCCGGGCGCAGTGGCTCAAGCCTGTAATCCCAGCACTTTGGGAGGCCGAGGCGGGTGGATCACGAGGTCAGGAGATCGAGATCATCCTGGTCAACATGGTGAAACCCTGTCTCTACTAAAAATACAAAAAATTAGCTGGGCATGGTGGCACGTGCCTGTAATCCCAGCTACTCAGGAGGCTGAGGCAGGAGAATTGCCTGAACCCAGGAGGCGGAGGTTGCAGTGAGCTGAGATCGCGCCATTGCACTCCCGCCTGGGTAACGAGCGAAACTCCATCTCAAAAAAAAAGAAAGGTAAATTATATCTTAGTAACTTGATGTTAAAAGCCATTAACAGCTGTTACCTATGAGAAAACAGAACTAAGTAGGGTAGATGATTAAATGGTACTTTTTTTTTTCTACTTAAACATATTTATACTGCTGGAACTTTTCTAATGAGCAAATAATTTAGGTACTTGACAATAATTTCATTAAAGTTTTAAATAATAACAATAATATCTATCTTGAAGGGGTGTTGTGAGATCCAAATGACATTATGTGAAAAGCATACAGCACAATGTATGAACTCAGAGAGAGGCAGACAGACACACAGATACATAGATACAGGTAGAGAGAATTTGTTACCTTCCTCTCACCTCCCACCTCCCCTATCCTCTTCACTCCCCAATCCTCACCCTCCCTGCCCCTTAATGACCCACATATTCTGAAATGACAAGGTACAAAGGCCAAAGGGCCACTGAGGGTGACAGCTATGACTTACCTCAGTGACAAAGAGTGTGCGAGGGTCAATGATATCCAAGAAGTGCCTGAAGCGGCCATAGAAGGATGTCTGAAGAAGGGGATGAGAGAGAAGAGTAAAAGGATGAGCTGCTGTACACCCTACTCCAGACACTGGGGAAGCCCACCCACAGCTCTCCTTTATGATTGGGGTCCCCCGGTACCCAGAACTCCCCACATGGGTGATAAATGCCAATGAGGCCTCAAAAATCTGAAGACAGCTTTCCTAGGGTTGACAGTTTTCCAAAGTCAACTCAGAGGAACCACTGAGATACTCAGGGACAGGCCCATTTGCTCTTCCAGGTGCCTCCCATTTCCCCCCTTCTCTCCCAATGCCCTGAGATCTATACTGAGCCCTTTAGAAGCTCCCAAGCATCCCTGGACATGCAGGCTGAAGGTGAGGCCTGGTCCCCAGACCCCCTGCCTTGGTCAGGACCTCAAGTGATACAGTGTCCTACCTGCCCCCCACAGGGTTCCTCCCCAAGGTCCAGCTCTGCCCCCAGGGAGAGGTCCCCAAGTGCAGCTCAAGCCTGAAAGCACCAAGCTCACAACCCTCAGGTCATCCTTCACCCACAGCCCTGCAGCTGCTGACGTGCAGGACAAGGAGCAGCTCCCTCAACCTTGCCCCAGAGTAGGGGCCATGGAAAAGGAGGGCTTTGTGCTAAGTGTGGCCACAGGCATTAGAGCACAATGAAAGGAAACCAAGCAACGGGGCTGCTGGGCCTTCTGTCCTGGGGACTAAGCCAGCTGGGCAAAGCCAAGCTCAAGGGGAAGATGGAGGGTGCCGAGCTCAGGGATGAAGTGGAAGCTGCAATCGCTGGGTGTTCATGCCTCACTACACTCTGGGCTCTGCCCCAAATTCCTCCCTGGAGCCCCACAACTCTCCAAGCACCATCCTTCGCAGAGTGGAAAAAACAGAAGCCTCCACATTCTCTCCCCTTATTTAGTAGGACACTAGACTCTGCAGTCAATTCCTGTTCCTTTCCCTTCCCAATAAAGACCCTGCAATAGGCTCCAGGTTCACCTCAAAATCCCCCAACACAAGAGTTCTTATCCCACCTCCATTTCTCTTCCACCATGGCACCCCTGCATGAAGCAACCTCTAACCCCTAATGCCACCACTTCCCAGGTGCTGTCTGTCACAAACCAGATCAAGCTTCAATCCATTCCTAACAGAAACAGCTGCCTCTCTAACCTCTTATAATTCAGACAGTCTGGACCATTTCCCCTTTTAAGACATATATAGGGGAGGCTCACAATGCTGTCCTGGCAAAATTTCACCCTTAAGAAGGTTGTCTAAAGAAACAACCCAAGATGTTCAAAAATGTGGTCAGGTGGATACACCAAGATGTTCACTGCTGTATTATTTACAAAGGTGGATGGTTAAATAAATGATGGCCCATTCATATGACCGAATACTATGCAGCCTTTAAAACTATGTTTTCAAACATTTATGACATGGAATAATGCTTATAATTTTATGAAATGCATATAAGCAGTGTGATTCCAACTTAATAAACAAGCAGATAAACAGAGCTAGACAGATACTAAGTGAAAAACTAAAAGACCAAATGACATCTAGATCCTGGTCCACTAATAGGGACCAGGGTCTTTATGAAAGGAGCTGATTTGAAGGCTGGAGAAGGGAGGGTACAAGATGAAACTGGTACATTTTGTTGCACCAGAAAGCAACGAAGTCTTACCACCCAAAAATGATGGGGGCATGTTAAAAGGATCAATAAAGGGCAGATGGCATGGTGTGTTCTTCCAAATGTGATAATCTGAGAAGTCCACAGCATCACTCAAATATTCCAAAGGGACTGAATCTAATCATGAGAAAACAAAACAAACCCAAATTGAGGGACATTCCATAAATTAATTGGTTTTGCTCTTCAAATACATCAATGTCATAAAGACAAAGAAAGACTGAGAATGAGACAGTTCCACATTGAAGAAACTAAAGAGAGAACTAGATGCATTGTGTGACTTGGGATTGGTTCCTGGAGTAGGGGGGCAATGATCTCAAGAGCATTACTGACTGAAACAAGTGACAAAAGTGGAATATGGGCCATAGGTTAATAAAAGTGTTGTATCCATGTTAAATCTCCTGAATGTAATTACTACATTGTAGTTATATAAGAGAATGTCCTTATTCTTAAGAAATATATGCTGGGCCAAGCACAGTGGCTCACGCCTGTAATTCCAGCACTTTGGGAGGCCAAAGCAGGCAGATCACCTGAGGTCAGGGATTCAAGACCAGACTTGCCAAGAGGTGAAACCCCTTCTCCACTAAAAACACAAAATTTAGCCAGGTGCAGTGGCACATGCCTGTAATCCTAGCTACTTGGAAGGCTGAGGCAAGAGAATCACTTGAACCTGGGAGGTGGTGGTTGCAGTGAGCCAAGATTGCACCACTGCACTCCAGTCTGGGCAACAAAGCAAGACTCCGTCTCAGAAAAAAAAAAAAAAAAAAAAAAAAAGGAGATATAGCTGATGTATTAGGAAATGAATGAACACAGCCTATTCGTAAATAGTTGAAGAAAAATAACATGTAAAAATACAGAGCAGCCATAAAATCTGGATATGTAGGTACTATAATTTCATTTATTTACAGATTAAAGATGTCCTGATGATAGCCTGTATATTTGCTATGTGTCCAGACTTTATGATTACCTGTAGACAAAGAAAATAATAAAGGAAATGTGATAAGATGCTAAAAATTGGTTGTCTAGGCAAAGGGTAGAGGGAAGTTTACCTTTTACTTCTTGAAATGTTTCCGTAAGACTGAAATTTTCCAAAATAAAAAGGTAAAAATTGTATTTTCAAAAAAGCTAAATGAAAATATACTAAAATATTAACAGATTGCCTCTGGGTAATAGGCTTATATATGATTTATATTTCCAAGTCTGTAAATTGCTTTTGAAACAATCAATATTATACATAATACACAGAAATGATACTATATTTAAAAATATGTATTTAAAGCAAAATGCAGAAGTTTGCTCCTATAGTCCCAGCTACTTGGGAGGCTGAATGATAGGATCACTTGAGCCCAGGAGTTTGAGATCAGCCTGGGCAACACAGTGAGACCCCATATCTAAAAAAAAATTTTTTTAATTAGCCAGGCATGGTGGTAAGTAGTCCCAGCTACTTAGGAGGCTGAGGTATGAGGACCACTTCAGCCCAGAAGTTTGAGGCTGCAGTGAGCCAAGTATCATGCCACTGCATTCCAGCCTGGGTGACAGAGCAAGTGCCTGTCTCCAAAAATAATATAAAATAAAGTAAAGGCTGCACATGGTGGCTCACACCTGTAATCCCAGCACTTTCTGAGGCTGAGATGAGTGGATCACTTGAGGTCAGGAGTCCAAGACCAGCCTGACCAATATGGTAAAACCCTGTCTCTACTAAAAGAAAAACACAAAAATTAGCCAGGCATGGTGGTGGGCACCTGTAGTCCCAGCTACTCGAGAGGCTGAGGCAGGAGAATTATCTGAACCCAGGAGGCAGAGGTTCCAGTGAGCCGAAACCGTGCCATTGCACTCCAGTCTGGGCAACAGAGTGAGACTCTGTCTCAAAAAAGAAAAATAAATAAAGTAAAATATGAACTGATAATTTTAAGTATTATACTTGATTATGAGCTCCTGAAGGACATGGGCTATTGAATATTCCTTCCTTATCCTCCCTGGTTCCAAGTCTCCTTACATATCTGAAAAGAAGGGTCTCCAGCCACAGGAATGCATGAGTGGGCTGATGAGCAGCCAATGGCCTCAAGGCTTCTGGGTGTGGTAGAGGTGGGCTGGGCTTTGAAGGGAGGACAGGATTAGGAAAGGATAGCAATATGGCAGCTAGTGATCCAAGGAGGGAAGAGGATGAGCAGGGACAGAGGAGAGAACCTGCAAGGAGAATGGCCTGAGCAAAGCAACTTCTTGAAGATGGTCCAGCAGAAACTTGTCCTGCAGTTGGCATGGTCTTCATCCTGTCCCAGCCCTGCCAGACTTCTTGTGTCGCTTTCAACCACAGCTACTGGGGGAGACTCCCAGATAAAGCATTTTGCTCCAAAGACATCTAGAAACTCCTAATGAGCTAGGCTCAGGAGATACCAAATGAACAAGCCTTCAAAGAACTCAAAGCCCATCAAGACAGACTAATAATTATAAACAAATAAATAACTACAAAACACTGATCAGAGCTTAAATGAAGCATCACAAAGTGTACTGGGGACACACAGAGTTCATCTTATGTCTTCCTAGTGTGAGTCAAGGAAGTATCCCAGTGGAGCTGGGACCAGGGGGTGGATGAGTTTACCTAACAGAGGAGGAGGGTAAATGCAAGAGGATGAAGGCATGAAGCTTAGGATCAGAAGCTGCACCAGACTCCTGTGGTCTCTTCCTTCATTCACCATTCAACCCAGTACCAAGGGGGCCTACTGTGTACCCAGCACTGTGCTAAGTCCTGGACGTAGCAAGGCTGACTGACTGTAGGGAAATGAGGAAGAGCATCCACAGATAATGCTTAGCTTTCTAGTGAGACATGAATGTTTGTTAACCAGAATAGGGACAGCAAGAAGCATACAGATTAAGTGGGAAGAAGATAAAAACTCTGTATTGATTATATTAGTCTGAGATATTTAAAGGGCCTTCCAGATGTAATTTTTAAGCAAACACTTGGACTGAGATTCAAGAAAGATATTCTGAGTTGGAAATGTTAGGCACACGTTGGCCTAAGACCCACCCCCTCTACCCACTATAGAGACAACAAAGGTAAAGTCTGACAAAGTCAGATTTACTGACTCATTCAACTAAGAAGGGCACACAGCAGAGGAATTATGGGGTGCCTTGCCAAACAAAGAAAAAAATATTTAGCATAGAATTTAAGGAAGACAGTAAAATTTAAATGAAGCAGTGCTTCAACAGGCTCCAAGGAAAGCAAGACTGTGTGGAGTCAACATAGGTCTGGACCAATGACTCATAGTCTTGTTTCCTTAAAAACTATAAAGTTAAGAGTAATGAGAAATGTTGTGACCAGGAACCCCTTATTTGCAGCTATGGGTCG